TGAGATGACACCAATCTCCTAATATACCGCTACAAGCCATCAACCACCTCCATATTGTTTTGAAGTCTAAGATTGATATAGAAGTATTGAGTATTCAAATAATGACCAGCAACATGCAAAGGACGGTGAAGTTGATAATCTCATCTCTTATCGATAATTGCAATCACATCTTTGTATTTATTTTCATCATTGTTGAAAGACCTCTCAATGACTTCTTTTGCCTTATTCATTGCTTCATAAATATAGTCCATTATTGTTTCTTTCCACCATCTATAAGTCAAAGTACTTGAACAAGTGGAGCCTTACCTTGAGAGCATATTTCACGTTACTCCAAAATGAAGGTATGATGACAAGTTTTTAGTTTCCTTTCCCTGGAAATCTTTTGCCAACTTATTTGTTCTCCACTCACTCGAAGTGAACATTCTTCTAAGATGATATTTCTCTTGAAAAAGTCTTTTCAATGTAAGATAAGAAGTAGCAAAACGAGTGACAACATGTCTTACCAACTTCCTCTTGTTTGCGAATTGTCTCAACAAACTCAATGTGCTAGAGTGGTTGTAAATGAAACCTACAACAGTTATTGCTTTTTTTTATTGTGAGCTTAACTGAAGAAATTTTTCCAATGTCTTCAAGGATCAAGTCGATGCAATGAGCGGCAAAAGGAGACCAAAAGAGATGCGGTCGTTTTTGCTCTAACATCTTCTTGCTAAGACGTAATTGCTTCCATTATCGGTTATTACCTGAATAACCTTATCTTCCCCAATCTCTTCAACTAAATCATCCAACACCTCAAACAATTTTTGTCTCGCCTTCACAAAATTAGATTCATCTACAGACTTCATAAACATTGTGCCCGCAGGAGAATTGACCAAAAAGTTAATCAGACATCGTTATTCAGCCTCTTTAGTGAGTAATGACACCCTTATTTGATGGTAAGATGGAGGTGAAAGGTTTGGGCCGAAACTTCCAATAACATGCACCATATCTTGAAAACTCTGCAACTTAATGTTGTTGAATGAAATTCCAACTTGATACCACCACTTTGTAATAAATTGGTGAACTTTAGTTATAGCTTCTGTTGGATCTTCAGCAAAGACTCCGGTCGAAGAAGAGGGTTTCGAAGCCTCTAGGCAAGATAGAAGCTTTTCGAAGGATGGAGGGGCATCTTAGTCATTTTGTATGGTCAGGGTTATGAGACCAATTAGGGTTTCGGGGTTGTATTCAGACTTTGAGTTTTTCGTTTTGGGTGCTCTCTCTCTACGGCGATCCTTTGTTCTCCGTGAGTCGGGATCAGTGTTTTCCGGTCGATCTCCGGCTTGTTTCTTTGTGTAACCCTAGTAGACAGTCGTTCCTCTTCCCGAGAAGTAGGTACCGAGCGTTAAAGCTCGGTACTGAACTCGTAATCCGCTTTGTCATTTTTTTTCCGTTCTTGAGAGATTCGGAGAGATCGGTGAGAGTTTGAAGGGCAAATCCCTTACAAGTGGTATCAAGAGCCCGGTTCACAGCGAGACTCGACGGATCTGCGGTGGAAAACACCTGAGGTAAGTTCGAGGTAGGTTCAGATCTGATTTCTCTGATTCTGGTGTCTTCGTCTATTTCAAGAGCCAAATCAGTGGTGAAACGGTGAAGCAGGAGCCATCTTGAGACGAGATCGGCGACGGTCACCGGCAGAGGAGCTCATATCGATGGCGCAAGAGGAGGTAAGTTCCGGATCTGACTCGGACTGAGTTACTCAGCCGAGTACAGAGTTCAAGGAGGTGTGTTCGCTCAATTTCGGTTTAGGTCTAGGGTTGGGGAGGGAAAAACGATGAAGAACCGGTGTTTTTCGGTGGTTTTCGGCCGTGACTCATTCTGAATCGCGACTGAGTCGGGAAACGGGTGAGTCAACATCTGAGTTGACCGGGTTAACTCGGCGACTACGCTTTCGAAATTAGGATTTTTTCGATTTAATCTGGTTTAGCCGGTTAAATCGGAATTATCTGCGCTCGATTTAAAATCGAATCGGTTTAGTCGGGTTTAGGTAGAAGTTGACCAATCTTGGTCAACAGTTGACCGGGTTAGGAAAACCGGACCGGTTCAGGTCAATTGGACCGGTCAGGTCCGGTTTAGGGTCGATTGGACCGGTTCAGACCGATTCAAGTCAATTTAGGTCCGGTTCGGGATAACCCAGACCGGTTTAGGTCAATCTAGGACCGGTTTAGGACAATGAGTCTGGTTTAGGTCAATTTAGATCGGAATTGGGCTGGTTTAGGTCTGATTAGGGTCCGATTCGTCCAAATAGGGCTAAGATTGTCTGGTTTAGGGCCTGTATTGACTAGATAAGTCTAGATTGGTTGGTTTAGGGTCAGGATTGTCTGATTAGGACTAAAATTGGTTGGTTTTAGGTCTGATTGGTTCGGTTGGTGCAGATAGAGTCCAGTTCTTAGGTTTTTTTTTTCTAGTATAGGGTATTTAGGATCTGTATAGATCGATTTATCCTAGGTAGCGACAGATTAGATCTGCGGGGGGACTTTGGTTACATGTTTCAGTCCATAGAGTTCGGTGATTATGTCCGATTAGGCCTGAATAGAAGGATTTGGCTGGATTATGTGAGTTAGAAGTCGGTATTAGGCTTGAAATCAATAGGTACGGGTCTGTAAAAAACATGTTGTTAAGACAGGTCTGTAAGGGTTGATTTTAGGCTAGATAAGGTCTGATCAGATTTAATTATGTCGATTTAGACAGTTTAGATCTGATTAGGTTAATTCAAGTCTGATGAGGGGTAGGTAAGTCAATATTGGATTGGCTTAGGTCTGATTAGGACTTAAGGGGACAGAATAGACTTAATTTAGGTCTGATCTAGGTTGGTTAGGTCAGGGTTAGCCTTGGGGTAGGTCTGATTAGACGTAATCAGGTCTTAGGTAGGTTGTTCTAGAGTCTATTAGGTCTGTTAGGTTGAAAAATACCTAAGGTTAGGTCCTCTTAGGATCGGTCTCACTCCTTAGGTCTGGTTTTAGTTGCTCATAGGGTCAGTTTAGTCATTCCCAGTTTTTAGAGTCGTCTTTAGACTCGGGTCAGATCACTCTAGGTAGGTCTAGGATATCCTCCGGGTAGAGATTAGGGATCCTTTAGTGATGTCTGCCCCTCTGCATCGCCTTGACGTCGAGAAGTTCGACGGCAAGGGAGACTTCTCCTTATGGAAGGAGAAGATGTCTATTAGTTTAGAGATCTTAGGATTAGGGGACACACTAGAGGATGATCCCTCTTTGTGGGGGAATGCTGATGAGGGGAGCCCAAAAACTCCAGCTCGGAAAAACGAGGATACGGAAGGCCTTACGACTCTTTCCACCGGATCACTAGGATCGATGGCAAAGGGATCGGGCACTCCGGCTCTCAAAGAGAGACAAGAAAGGAGTAGAAAGGCTAGGAATCTCATAGTGTTGGCTCTAGCGGATCAGGTTCTGAGAAAGGTCATATCCGAAAGGACGGCCTTCGGAATCCGGAGGAAGCTAGAACGATGCAGAGGGGCAGACATCACTAAAGGATCCCTAATCTCTACCCGGAGGAGAGCCCAAAAACTCCACCTCGGGAAACCGAGGATACGGTTGGCCTTACGACTCTTTCCACCGGATACGTGGCAAAGGGATCAGGCACTCCTGCTCTCAAAGAGAGACAAGAAATGAGTAGAAAGGCTAGGAATCTCATAGTGCTGGCTCTAGCGGATCAAGTTCGGAGAAAGGTCATATCCGAAAGGACGACCTTCGGAATCTGGAGGAAGCTAGAACGATTGCACATAGAGCAATCCCTCCCCAATAGGATGTACTTCATGCAGAGGGTGTCAGGGTTTAAGATGGACAACTCTAGGACGATAGAGGAGAATTTAGACATTTTCCAGAAACCATTGTCAGACCTTCACAGCTTAACTGTGAAGGTAGAGGAGGAGTATCAAGCAGTTTACCTGCTGAGCTCCTTACCTCCTGCTTTCGAGCAGCTGAGGGAAGTCCTATAATATTCCCGAGCTACAATCTTGGTGGAGGAGGTGAAGACCGCAACTAGGATGAAGGAGCTAGAGCTTCTAGCTCAGGGTACCCTTAATCGGGGTACGGGGGAAGGATTAGTGGTCAAGGGCAAACCCGAGAAATCGGGTGGCGGGAAGAAGAAGGCCAAAGACCAGGTGGAGTGTTGGTATTGCGGCAAGAAGAGACACTATAAGAAGGAGTGTAGGTCCCGGAGGGCGAAGGAGGAGACCGAGCAAATTCGAAAAGAGCTAACGCAAAACCGAAATGAGTGGAAACGAAAAATCCATACGATCGACCCCAAATAAATTTGGGACTAAGGCGATGTTGATGTGTTTCGGATTCAGATTCTGATCGGCCCGATTTTTTTTTTCGAATTTATATAACTAAGTTCAATGTTCTGTTTTAGGGATTCAAATTAGGGAACGAGCCCATCCATTCAAATCATTCTTTATAGATTTAAAAAATAATCGAATTTTCAGTTCGATTCGAAATCCAATTTAAACTCGCTCAAAAACTTGAATTGTTCGGGTGGATAAATTAAGATCAAAGATATATAACATTTTCCGAGCTCGTACGGCTAATATTAGACCACCGAGGAAACTCAAAGAAAACACCTATTCGAAGCCAAAATACCTTTACCTTTTGTCAATTATTTTTCTTTCGATCTTTGATTTTTTTGTGATCTTTTAGGAACTCATTTTTTTGTCAAACAACCTTTTTAAAGAATATGCCTTTCTGTCATTGTTTGAAGGGCAAAGCAACCCCGCCACCAAAAATACTATCTTCCCTTTCTCTAACTTTATCAGTCCCCTACATATAACTCAATGGTTTTCTATAATCATTAGTATCTACAAATAAAACAGTATATATATCACCACAAAAAAATAAATAAGAGACTAAGGAACATATATTATTATGCAATCAGGCCTTTTTTTTAAATGATTCTATTAGGTATTTCATGTTCTTCACATACAAATCACGATTCCCTTGTGGGATCAGACAAATATAACTTAAATCATATTTATCCAAATCAGATCAAGACCAAGACCAAGACAGTACCCTTTTTTCTTCCTTCTTGGTCCTAATGGAAACCCCAGTTTGTGTTTCTTTTAAGACAAACTCATTTACAGTGGTAAAGTTTGCGGGTGAGCCAAAAAACCAGCAGTCAAAAGTTCAAATTTTTTTTTAAAGAAGAACAAGAATCAGTCAGTATGAGCAATAATCTCCATAGACAAACACTCTTTACCTCGTCTCGGAGCTTTCACGAGCAGTGTCAGTCTCTGAACCTGTGCGCACTGGCCGGAGAAGGCCCTGCATTCTCAACATGTAACTCTGGCTCGGAGGTTGGTTTTCCGTCGTTGTATCGGTTGTTCCTATCGCGTCAGAGCTGCGGAGATTGGACAGTGCGCTTAGATCGAGATCCGGGAAGACAGAACAGCGGCAACGTGGGCATTTTACGTTTAACCGCAGCCATTGGTCTATGCATTCGACATGGAAGTTGTGGGCACATGGTAATCCCCTAACCTGCAATGCAAAATTCGCATATTACTTTGATATCATCCATGGAAAGATAGAGAGAATTGTTTAATCATAGAATGAGAGTTAAAAACCTTGGCTTAGGAGGGAGTAGCAAGTTTTTTTTTGTACCTCATTTCCGACATTGAACTCCTCTAAGCAGATTGGGCATTCACTACAGTCAGTAGGGACGGCTTTTAGCCTGAACTTTGGAAGTTCTTGAATTAGAGCCTCAACTGCTTCTCTCTGTTATCCAAAAGAACAAGCTTTATTTTAGGCCATTGGTATCTTTGGCGATATCCAGACAGAAAGATGGCATATAGGTAGACTACTTCTCAAACTGCAAGTGACATCCTTTGTAAAATCATCGCCAGACAAGAAGCTTTCCCTAACTCTATACAGGATGTGTAAAAAAACGTTTGCTTTGTGGCGGATAATTACGGAGAGAACATAGGATTGGACCATTTTCTTTTTGGTATGTTTTTCTTTCCAGATTTCTTTTCTGTACAAGGCCTTGATTGTGCCAGACTAATCTCTCTTCCACTGACAAGTCATAACAATGTTAAGGACAGGTTATCAGTTCTTCGTTCCCTGACAATAAGAATAAGCTGACAGACTTGCCTGAGCCGTAGTCAAGTACAGACCAGGATGGTATGGAGTGGTATCTTGACCCATGACTCTCATCTCTTGACCTGCAGCTTCGAATGCCCAGTCGGGTACCCTAACCATGTCAACTAAAATCTGAAAACATGGAAACAGTCAAACTCGATTCTCAGAATTGAGAACAAGAAAAAAAAAACCTAATTACCACCAAATAATAGAGCAAGTATTAACCACCTTAACGACATGGATGTATCTAAGGACACAAGGGAGGAAAAGTCAATCATGGGATCCTAAAACCTTACCCCAAATTCTGAAAAGGGAATCCCCTGCTGAGCACGTAATAAGTGTGCCTGCCTTCGCGCCATCCACTGATTGAAGATGTATAAAACGAACCAAGTTAAGCAGGAGATCATCTTCAAATCAACAAAAGGGTGATAAAGATCTACCTTTCCAATACACATGCAGGCAATGCAGAGTAGTCCACAGTAGCTGAACAGCAGCCAGATAAGGAAACCCCATTTTTGACCTTCTTCAGGTAACTATGTACCCAAGAATACATAATAGATAAGTAATAGGATCGTCCAATAAGAATAACCAAGTGACATTAACTTAAAAGTTACTTACACAGTTTCTCGCTCTTGTAAACCATAGTGTACCAATAACTGTCCAAGCCCACAGTAATGGGTAAAGCCACAGAGACAGGATAGACAGAACCACCAATCTTCCACAAAACCGAGCATATCGCTGCTGCCTCCCAAAATCCCTATCAGATTTTTAATTCCAAGGAACAATATGAAATACTCAGGGGTTGAAAAAGAGACCGAAACATGCACCTAGCTACCTCTGGAATCAAGCTTGCACCCTTAAAGATAAACCATTATTATGTATATGTTTATAGCTAACGCCAGAATTGAGGGTAAAAGTTGATGATCCCCAAGTAGCATATCTCTTCTTGATGATGCAACCCTTTCCGAATGTCAACCACACAAGTACACTCAAACAAATGCCTATTATGAATGACACAGAAAAAAAACGAAGTATTCTCAGCAATATAATTTCATAACAGGCTCTTACTTAACAGACAACTTTTCCCTGAAACTCAAACTTTAACGGGTAGTGATGCTTAAAAGCCTTAGCTACAAATTCATCATAATCCAAGTAGCTTCGAATTAAACTTACAAGCCAAGTCCAGCAGCAAGACCGTTATCTACAAACATCAGGAGGCGAAAGATGAACACAGTGGTATAATCAACCTGGATAGAGTAAAAGTCACAAAAAAAAAATCAACAGGAAAAAACAAAATATGAGATTCCGGGAACTGAAAAAAAAAGGGAAAATAAGAGAAGCAGAAGCGGATGAACAAGAGCAGGAAAACATCTGAGTGAGGAACTCACCACTATCCATACGTGCAATGGGTATTTGCACAGATGATACTTATTCCAGTTGATTGCCACAATGATTCTACAAAGCAAACCTATTGAGGAAATACAATCTCCCAGATTCTTTCGATCACTCAAAACCCTAACAAAATCTCAGCTCAATGTTTCCACTAGCTTCCTTTTTATATAAAAAAAAAAAACCGAAACTACAATCGGATTATTCTGGGAAATACCGATAGCTAGTTCACTATTTTTCCTTCTAATCCGATTAACCAAGTATACCAATTCGACACAAACTGTATCCAGATCATAAATGGAAAAAAGCAGCGGAATCATCTTGAGGATCGAGATTATTCAGCTCGAATCCAAGCTAAAGGAAAGAAACAGCTCCGAAAGGAAAGGCGAGAATCGAAGAATCCTAAGAGCAGAGACATAAGGATACACACTAGTTGCGAGCATCGACAAGAAGAACCCATCGTACCTGCAGAGCTCCATCGTTCATCCCCACGAGATCAAATAGAAAATGAGCATAGACATACATATAATCGAAATCGAAATCCACCACATTCGGATCGACTCCAAGCCAAAGAAAATGGAGAAAACTCACCACTTGAAATCGACACCTCTCATCGCCATGAGAGAGAGAGAGGGGTGGTAGGGGATAGAGCAGGGGGAAGTAGAAACCCTAGCAGGTACGAAGATCAAACGCTCATCTCAATTCCAAAATGGAACTCGAATCCTCAATTGATGCACCACAGGCGGGGTTAGGATCACGAACGAAGAGAGTGCGAGAGAAAGAGAGAGAGGTGGTGACTGGAAATGGTATTCTCGGAGGAGGAGATTTTGGATTCAAACAGTAGTTGTGGGGAAGAAATATGAGGAAGAGGAAACTTCGGGGCCAAAAAAGAAGGTTTCAACGTGTAGATACGTTAGGTTGTCAGTTTGACAGAAGATATAAAATTTCGGTTTTAGTGTAATAAATATATGATTCACTCAAACTGGAGTTAGAATTACATAAAAGTCAAATACATATAGTATTTTTAGGGAAATTAAATTAAATATAAAAAAGAAGAAAATCGAATTATTTTTAAAAGTAAAAATTTAATTCAAAAATAAATATAGGAGGCCAATCATTCGCAGAATGTTTTGAATTAGAAAACAAAGTTTTAAAAATCATTATTGCAATTTTAAGCTACAAACTCATTTAAATATCATATAAAATACCCAACAAAAAAGTTAGATTATAAATACATAATTTTACCAAAATATAAATTTTTACCTAACAAATTCAGCAGCAACAGAAGGTTGAAAAAAAAAAATCAATTCCATTTACACATTTTAGTTGCCATATTTTTCAATAGGAAAATTAAAAGAAAAAAAAAATCAGTCACAGTTTGGAGGATTGGTACATTTATAAACAGCAGAAGCAGGTTGCTTATAAGCAGGGATACTGTCGGTATCCAAGAACCGAACTTCACCTGGTCCCATATACAACTCCGAGTGCCTGCAAACATTCTCAGAAAGAACAGAGCATATCTCGAATCATTCAGATCCTTAATATAACATTTCCAGCCCAAGATTTACATGATTGTAGGGCTTCGAGTTTACGTGTAAAGTAGCGATTTTTCGAGTTGAATGTCAAGAGATGGGCATACCTTCGGAGGTCAAGTCCCAAAACCCCGGCTTGCAGGACGGATAAGTTGTCTGAATCGGGTGAGACTATTACCACAGTGTCACCTGAGTACTGAGTTTCGAGAATGGACATGAGTTGTGTCACACGCACAAACACGTCTGATACGCTCTCGTTGGGCGTACCGTCGCCTACGGGAGGCGGCTTTGTCCTCGGTGATATACCATCCATTGCATACACCTGACCGCTCATGAACATTTCTCAGTATCTGATACATTTCTTCTTCAATCATCAAACACAAGTTTTTAGACAAAATTTCCGTCTTATATTTAGATTCATGCATATGTGTGTATAGATAGACAGATAGATCGGTATTACCTCGGATATGGATTCCAGATTTTTGCCTTCGAATGCACCAAGACCACGGGCATCAAGAAAGCTATACTCCGGAACAATGTAGCTGCAAAAAAATGAGTAAAAAGGGAACGAGCTTATGCGTTTAACCTGCAAATGATTGAAGACTTTATCACCTAACGTGCAAGTTAGATTCTACGATACATCTCATCTTCCAAATACAACCATCTCATCATTAAGACGATATCAACAGATTTCTCTGCTTGCTTTGTGTATCGTAAAACCCTTAATTGCAGCACTTACTTCATTAGTTTCTTATGGTAGAAACCGCGGTGACAAATGGGTACAGAGAAAACTACCAACTCAGCTGATTTTATATAAGAAAGAGACAAGGCAAACATAAGAATACTAAGAAAACTTCCAAGTCAGTTTCCCCCACCAGAACAGCAATATTAAGGCATACCCAAACCTGAGTCACCGCAGAAACACAGAGGCGAAACGCATAAAATGCATCGGTTCGCACAAGATATACCATTCATCACACATGCTTCTAATGCTAACAGACGGAATTTTGGTGATGTTCATCAAGATTGCCGTTTTCAGGGCAACTGCTCATGGATGGGTTGGGTTCACAAACTAACTTTCACAAATCTTTCTCAAAATAGCCTGCAGATAATTGGTTCACAACTCATGACTCGTGGTGGCCAAATAGAACAACGACAGGCACGTGTTAAAACAAGCTTTACCTACGGCTGATCCCGTTGAAAGCAGCAATGATCTCGGCAGCCTGGTAAGCCCGTTGAGTAATGGAAGGCCAAATCCAACAATTTCGATCACATGCTCCCATGGCCTTCAACTGTAGAGCAGCCCTCACAGTCTGCTTCTTACCTTTCTCCGACAATCCGCTGTCCACTGATGTTTTAGCAACCGGGTTGGTGTTGATTATCCCCAAGCTTTCGTACTCTGACTCTCCAGCCCTCACCAGGTAGTAACTTTACGCAAAAACAACAATTGAATCCATTGCATTAGCTAAAGCTGCTGAGCTAATTTCCCAAACTCCCCATTATTTTCTACAGAAAACCATTACCAATACTTGAACTAGATTAGATACAACTCTGTCTAACTCTTGAGGGCAATCTGAAAATGCTCAATGAATGAAATGACTTTTTGGCAAGAACTCCCAAAATCAAGGGTACGCCGTAGATCAGTCGTCATCACTATTCAGTGTTAAAAATTCAGAATCTTAGCAAGAACACTCAAAGCCCAATGTGCACAATCACAATCCAAATCAAAAACTGTAGACATCAAACCCTAAAACTGAAGTTAATCCAGAAAACCTCGTGCATATATATACATTATATACACCACCGTGGAACTCCCAGTCGAAATCTAGACTTCGGGAAAGGAAATATACCGATTCGACAGCCGGAGAGGCGGCATCTGAAAGAGGCCGCGGGCGTCGGCGGAAAGAGAGAGCGGTGGTGCGGCGAGGCAGAGGGAGAGAGCCTCGACGAGGCGGCGGCGCGTGATTGCCGGGAAGGTGCGCGTATTCCTGCGGGTTTGGCGGTTTTCCGGCGGGGGAGGAGGATGTGCGGCTGAGGTGGCCGGCGAAGATGATAAGACGGTCACCACCATCACTTTTGGAACTCAAAGAGCTTTCACTTACATCACAATTTCATCAATTTAATTGATGTTTGGAAATCGCATGGAATTGGACCGTTTCAATACAAAATAATACATTGGGACTTCTCAAAGATTTTAAATTTAATTAACTTACAATTAACCCCTTAAAAATCATGAAATTATTATTATATTAGCTCAATTAACTTCACAAATCAACGATTAAAGTTTCCTTCCTTGTGTACGTTTGGCAAATATTTGTGTATCTCTGCTGTAGAAAAGGGTCCAAATCCAATTCAACAAAATCATCACTAAAATTAAATAATGAAATATTGTAAGAGTACATATACATATATATATGTAGAGAGAGAGAGAGAGAGATTAAGAATGAATGTAATAAAAAAAGGAAAATTAAGCGGGGAGGGTGGTGCGATTAGCGAGTTGAAGCTCCGCATCCATCTTGCGTTTATGCTCTTCTTCTTCCTCGTCGGTCCATCTCGTCGTCTTGTAGTATAACGCGTACAATATTAGCTGTATCGCTCCTGATATTGTCCCCAGCCCATTCGGTATCTGTTTTTTTTTTTTTTTGGTTGTTTAAAAAGATGCATAATAATTTTAATTAGCTTTTAAAAGGGATAAAAAACATAATTAGGGGGTTAAAAATGAGAAATTACCAAAATATAGGGGTCGAATTGGAGAAGGGCGTAAACAGCCCAGACGCAGCCGTTCATGAAGTTGGCGATCGACAAGAAAAACGGCATGTATTTTACGCTCTTCGTTCTTATTACAGTTTTCTGCTCCAAATCCACGTAAACTCGTTTTCATTAAAAACGATTGAAATTTCATGGGCACAGACAAGGATGAGATGATGGATACGTACCATGACGGTCAGAGGAGACGCGTACATGATGATGTTGAAAACGATGCACATGATCCCAATCAGCATCGACCTCGCCTTCGTTGTATGCAATAAATACATTGTGCATAGTATTACTGTCGCCATGAATACCACCTCGATCACAAGCGCCATGGTTATCTTTTTCTGAAACACATGCATGCATGCACACATTTGTCAAATCATATATACACGATATATGCGAGGATAGATGTGTTTGTGTGTATATATATATATAGATAGAGAGAGAGAGTAGCAGCATACATACGCGAGAGGGCCAAGGAGAGAAGTAGAAGAAGATGGCGACGTAGACGAGCTCCATAAGGAGGCCAGTGGCATTAATGGTGATGACGAGAAGGCTGTCGGGATGGACGAAGGGCATGCCGTAGAAAGACCACATCATGCAGTTCAACACCGTCGCCACGTACGGATCCGGCTTGAACTCCCCCACCGTTCTCGCCTTCCATATCTTCATGAACGTTGGTCTGCGTCATTCCACATATCTCATTCATGTCGACATTTCATGTCACTCTACTCTACTCTCTCGTTCCTTTTTTTTATATAAATTGGCCCGTCTAATTAAAGCTCAATGGGTTTCATCTAGGGTTTTTCTTCTCCCTTTCTCATGAATCTTTTTGTGCTGCTTCAGAAAAGGGAATGAATACAAACAAAGATTACTTACATTGGCGAGCAGAACAAACCGAAAGAGATTACGTTTCCTGAACGCCCACATAGGAAATGATAAGTCAGTTTACCAATGGTGAAAATCAATGTTATTCAGGATATATATATATATATATATATATATATATATATTAGATGAAAGAATCAAATTATGAATAATATATTCGCTTGCAACTCCTTTCCCCTTCATTAAATCTCTTCAAGTTGTGTGTATATATGTATATACGCGCTGTAGCTGTGTATCTATCTTCGTGGATTATCAATCTAATTGTATAAAGTACAAACTCTGCATCTTTGTTGGTATTTTCTTTTCTTGAAATTAAATACAAATGCATTGTACAGAACACACAAAGGAAAAAAAAATGGAAACTTACCGACAATTCCGACGATGGTTCGGACCGAGTGAATTTCCAACATTTTTCTGTTTGAGCGTTTCAAATATTTTTCCCTTATCTTATAAAAAATTCCCTTTAATCGCAAGAAAAGAGAAGAAAAGGAGATTTAGGGTTTTCTCCGACGAAGACGACGACCAATCTTCTCTCGGTACTCTCTGAATCTCCTTTGTTGTGTTTTTTTTTTTGTGTGGTTGTTATTGATGTTTGCATTCTTTTTTTGGGTGTAACAGCTTACAGATACGAGAAAAATAGGGATTTAGCGACAGCTTCTGAGAATTGTGCGTAGAGTTGAAATGTGTCACACGTGTTTCTGATCTTGACACTCTTCAATCCCATGCATGAATAACACACGGCTCTTCGTAATTCTCTCCCTCTCTCTCTCTATCTGGATTTTCTTTCCAATTTTGTCATTTCTGACGTAGCATTTGTAGATATACATTACATCTACATACACACACACACACATATATATAGATTAGTAAATGATCTGCCAATAGCCATTGGTGTGTCGTCATCCCCAGGTCAAAAAAAATTTAACGATAAGATTATGCGCGAGCAGATATTGGAGAACCAGACCCATCATGTAACAGTCCCTTGTTCTTCTCCGACCAAAGCCAAACCTTTGACACCGATAAGCTGTCTTTCTTCCCGTCAATGGAAGATCCGAGTTTCCCGGATTTGCCCTCGCAACCAGATCTGTTATTACAGATTTTGCCATGGCTCGGAGACAGTGCCACCACAAAATCTTGGTGGCACACATGATACTGATGTGTGCCCATCGAGTAACACCTTCTTGGTCCCAACCCACTTGTCTCTTGACTTTGACCTTGACTTTGACCGAGCTGTCCTTTGTTTGTGCTTTCGCATCTCCCCAGCCGAACTGAGAAGACTCTGCTCGACGTAGGCGCTTTGCCATCTTCAACACGTCGAGACGAAGGGACAATCACTGCGTCGTTGAAGCTGAAGAATGTAGTTTTGAAGTTAGAGTTTGGGTTCGAAATGGATCCCCTGCATAGAGGACAAGTGGAGTTGGAGAGCAGCCACGTGTCGATGCAGTGGACATGGAAGGCGTGGCTGCAAGCAGGGAGCAACCTGAGCTTGTCCATGTCCGAGAACTCGCAGAGACAGACGGCGCAGTCAAAGGGTTCTTTCAGACCCATGATAATGTCGGTGTAAAAGAACACAGGGAGTGCGTCAATGGAGGTCTGATCTAGACCAGAGTCGTGTAGAAGGAAGAGTTGCTGAAGTTGACCTTGGTGGGCGTGAGGGGAGGAGGAGGAAGGAAGATCTGGGTTGGGGTTAGAATTGTGAATTTGAGAAAAAGTTGGGGGCTTTAGGAGAAGTTTGAAGAGTAGGCGGAGGATGCTAAGGACGACGACGACGAGAGCAAGAACAGATATCACTAAGAAAATAATGGGGCTTATCGTGCAAGACGATAAATCCTTTGGGTGAGGAGAGGTTGAAGATAGGGGTGAAACGCCGTCTGTTTGATGAACTTCAGACAAAACTCGTGACATATTATTAGAAATCTGTCTGTTGGAAGAGAAGAGAACCGCGGAGTTGTACTGAGACATGTCTGAATAACTGGTTGAAACACATATATAAACAAGGTTGTGTGTTTTTGGCGATGAGAAACATGGAATATTATAAAAGGTTCAATTTTTGAGGTTGACTCTCTGAGTTTTCTATCTAATATGATAATTTCATAATATAATGTCAACATGCATGATTAATGGTGACCTTGAAAAGCAATCTCCAAACATCACGAAAGAAACATGATAATGTGCCGAGCCAATTGAGATGGTAAAGTGTCATTTTCAGACGGAGACACGCATTAAAAGCGAATCATGTGTCCCCTCCTCTCCTCTCAACTTTATGCGCGAGCTCTAGTTTACATGATTACTCCCCTACGACCAATGACCATCACATACATACAAAACATATATATACATATACACACAAATGTGTGTGATTGGATTTAACTTGTCCTGCATGTCATATTAGAAACTTCAAGGACAGTGATGAGTGATGGAGAGACCCATTATTCTCTTCCACTTCAGTGTCCAAATCGAGTGCTTCGCCCCTCGATTCAATAATTTCCACCGCGTAAATGCCAACCAAAAAAGATAAGTTAAAGACATAAAGATACGTAACATTCATGCATCATTCGCAGATGATGATTTCCTGCCCCCTGTTTCAGAAAAGAACGAACTCTCTCCTCGCCTGATGTCAAATTCCAAACGTAACTGAGACATAACAAAGCTGCGAAATCTTAGAAAGACAATAATCTCATATTAAAGCCGATAATGTCTGAGCAAATCAATATACAGACTCCTGTGGTTCTTGTTTATTTAAGAACATACAGCAAGAATGTGCCCTCACAAGTTATAATCCTCTCAAGGAAGCACAGACCCTCATCGATGATCTCCACTTGAGTGATTGATAAGCCGGAAAATGCAACAAACACTGGGTCAGCCTATTTCTTCCATGGATTATCTCCATAGTAACAGGCGGTTCCAACCATTAGTGCCACGGTAGCACCCTGTACGACCACCCGAGCTCTCATTAGAACCTGACCCAACTGAGAATTGCCTCTTCTGAAACTAATCAACCCTGCTGTGAGCACTCCTGCAGTCAATAGGGCCCCTGCAACGTTTTTTTTTTTTGTATATCCGATTTAGAATGCCTAAAATATTTTCCATATAAAGACCCAAATGTTTGTAGGCCTCAAAGATTCAAAATGAACATGGAGATTGCGTGATTCATAATATCTCAACACTATCTACCACCAACATCATATTTCAGATAATTGGCATGGCCTACGAGGTACACAGCCGACTGAGACAACTGTAGGAAACATCTCATCTTTATATTGGAAGCCACAGCTCTGATTTGATATTAACATTGTAACAATATTGGATCCATATATATGTACACAAATATATCATGGATTCACTAGCGCAAGCCCAAACTTGCCAAGTTCCCTAATCATTCATAAACATGATCAATCATCCCTTAAAGGATCAAGTGATTATGTCCCGACACATCCACTGGATCTGCAAATGAAAATCATCCATACGATCCATTCTCAGAGGGGAGACCCAAGCTCAAGATTGACGCCAAAATGTGTTAGCCATAGTTAGACAAAAAAAAAAAAGCCTATAAAGATGAAATATCACTGAAACACAAGTCATAACAAAGGAAGAACTGAAAACAGCTTTTACAAGGTTTTGCCAAAAAGAAGAGTGCATCTATAGTCTCTTTGATAAGGCAGCAATCTATTCCATGTGATAAATCTACTGTAAGATATTTGATTATGTTATAATCTTATGCGAATCCTGGAATTGCTTGGTTCTATGGTTCTGCTTTCTCCTCTTAATATTCAACCTCTATTTAGGCATTCACACAACATTCCAATCATTCAAAGAAACATGGTGTTTGGTGACATCAAGAATCTACAACTGTGGCATAATGCAGAACAAGTCATATAGTAGATACCGATTCGTAGGTAACGCTTTTTTGAACAAATAATGATAATGGCTAATTGAAAAAATTCGACGCCAAGTGATAACCTTTTTCATTACGTGGACAGTAAACAAACCCTAAATGGTGAATTCCAAAACTCTGATTCAGGATCAAAGAAGAACAAAAGGCTGCTTCGACAACCACTCGAGGAACCAAAATCAACAATCCGATCAAGAAAGCACGAGGATTAATAAACCAGTTTCCATAAACAATCGATGGTCTAGAATAATAGATCAACAAAATACCAATGGGGGACTCACCAACAGGGACAAGGGGATTCCTCACACGCTTCTTCTCCTGGAAGAGCTCCTCAAGCTCCGGTTCCGCCGTACTCATCTTCCTCTTCGGTTAACGAATCGCAATGTGAAAACAAGAGGAGGAGGAGGAAGAGAACAACTATGGCGAAAACTCAAACGAAAAGATGCGTATGCGTGGCCTGTTCTCCGCCGCTAGAGACATCACGACGGCGAGGCGGTTGGTGTCATCATAAAATGGGCCGGGCCGGGCCGGTTCGAGCCTAACCCGATTCGGATGGATAGGCCGAACCGAGTATAACCCGATTCAGGTGGGTGGGTTGATAATTTGGGTTTGGGTTCTCGGCCCAGTGAGCTTAATTTGTATCTTTTGTGTGAGATAATTCTATGTACACTTTTTTTTCTGTCAACATCCAATATATATATAAGAATTATAAAAATATAAAAATTTGATGTAAACTAGCTTCCAACCAATCAATATATATATATATATATACCATAACGAATGTATTAGTTAAATTTAAATTAACAAATCGTAAACACCGAATTCAAACCCAAAAAATACAACTAAAATCGTAAAAAAAATATTTATATACAGATTTATTCCTACTTTTTCTTCTATTTACTAATCAGAGATTTGTGAAACAACAACGACAACCTTTTACCTTGTTGTGTTATACCGTGGATCCTTTCGCTTCTGCATTTTTTTTGCTATTTTTTTTTGTTCCCCCCCCCCCCCCCAATCACTTCGTGTGCTTCTTCTTCTTCTTCTTCAGGGTTCATAAAGGGGAAAATAGCTGCAATACCCTTTGACTGCTATTTGGACTTCTCATACTACCCTACAAACAAAAAATTAAACAAAAAACACTATGCACCATGGCAAAAGACAATAAAATCCTCATATATTAATGAAAAGACAAAAAACCCTCTATTTTTTTCAATTTAAAAAATTCAAAATTAAAAAAAAAATTAAAATCACGTAACTTTACTTTTATTCTCCTCTCTCTCTCCTAATTTTATTCTTCTTCCACTTTCTCTCTCTTTATAAATCTTTTTCTTCTCTCTCTCCTAACTCTCACGGTTTTAGTTCTCTCTCTTTCAAAACTTATAATCTTTTGCATTTTGTTCTATTTTCTATTTAAATCTCCGGTTAGATTCAAGATTCGAAGAAGAAATGAAAACCGCGTGGAAATTGCAAGGTTAGACAAAAACATGGTAGGTTATAAACTTCAATTTCTTTTAGATTTGTTGGATTTTGAAATTTGTTGTTGTTGAGTTGAAGTGTGGTTTTGGAATTTGATCGATAGAAATTTTGGGTTTTGGGCTTTTCAAATTTTATTTAGCCACCAAAAATTGAGGAGATAGAAGAAGCAATGACGACATCGAAGAAATGACAAGTTCATGTTCATCTTCGTCACATTTTTCGAGCAAAAATAGGAACCTTATGGAGATTACGGAGTTAGATGAACACAAGGTAGATTAAAATTCAATTTATTTGCAAGTTTGTTTGATTTTGAGATGTGTTCTTGTTGAGTTGAAGTGTGGGTCGGGGATTTGAACGATAAAGCATTAGGGTTTTGAATTTTTTTAAAATTTGGGGATTTCAAAATAGAATGTTGGTTTGCGGGTTTATGGATCAAATTGAGTGAAATGGTTGTGTTTCGGTCAAATAAGACAGTCATATAGGTCGAATTACGGTCACAGTATCACAAGATCATATAGGTACGCCTATATCACAATATACAATAGTCACGGGTCACATGGTCACATGGTCACAAGGTCACATGATCACATGATCACAAAGTCACATGGTCACAAGGTCACATGGTCACAATGTCACACGGTCACAGTTACAAAGTTCACAGGATCACAGGGTCATATAGGTACGCATATATCACAATATACAATAGTCACGAGTCACATGGTCACATGGTTACATGATCACATAGTCACATGGTCACATGGTCACAAGGTCACAAGGTCACAAGGTCACATTTTAATTTTAAAGCTTCGGAGTGGTTTATTAGAGTCTATATATCAAATATATATTGTGTGAGAGAGAATTTCAAAATATTTTAAGGGGATTATGGAATAAATATACCAAATTTGTCAAAAATACTCATAAAACATTATGAAACATATAGGAAAGAAATCTGAATTTATTTATGTTTTATGTAAAATATGGGTCTAAATTATTGTATAAAAAATTTTAAACTTAAATTGATGGAGAAAAAAAATATAAGGTTAAAATAAAATTACGTTTTTTTCAATTATGAAATGAGTTAAATTGTCAAAGTAGTCTCCACAAGAAATCTAGGTTGAATTGTCAAAGTGGTCCACACAATGGAATAAGAGAAAAATTATGGATCTCACATCTCATTTCGGTCACAATGAGTCACAGTCGATCACAACCGATCAAAATAGATCCCATATTATAAAAAAAATCTGAACTACTTAATGTTTTTTTACAGAAAATTATAGGTTTAAAATGTTGTAGGTGAAAATTTGGGGTTAAAATTTGTGAAGAAAAAAATTGGGGTTTAAATTTGGAAGGAAGAAAATTTGGAGCTAAAATTTGGATGAGAAAAATTTGGGGTTAAAATTGATATTGAAAAATTTTGGGAGGGAAAAAAGTTAGGGTAAAAATTTGGGAGGGAAAAAACTTGGGGTTAAAATTTGGGAGGAAAAAATTATAGGGTTAATGAGGGGTTGAATATTCAAACTGGGCCCCACGAAACACAAAAATCTGAAAAAAATTCTGACTAGTTCTTCGTGTGGACCCCACAACACTTTTTGGTCACAATGGGTCACAGTCGGTCACATCCGGTCACAACCTTCGATCCATGCGATTTTTGTCAATTTAATCGATCAACAACGTCACATATCTCTCATAAGTCTATTTTATATTGTTTTGAACATTAAAATATGGTTTTTGCGATTTTTTGGTTTCAAAGTTGCTATTTCAAATGTGTTCCTATATGTTTCATAATGTTTTATGAGTATTTTTGACAAATTTGGTATATTTATTCCATAATCCCCTTAAAATATTTTGAAATTCTCTCTCACACAATATATATTTGACATTATGAAACATATAGGAACACATTTGAAATAGCAACTTTGAAACCAAAAAATCGCAAAAACCATATTTTAATGTTCAAAACAATATAAAATAGACTTATGAGAGATATGTGACGTTGTTGATCGATTAAATTGACAAAAATCGCATGGATCGAAGGTTGTGACCGGATGTGACCGACTGTGACCCATTGTGACCAAAAAGTGTTGTGGGGTCCACACGAAGAACTAGTCAGAATTTTTTTTCAGATTTTTGTGTTTCGTGGGGCCCAGTTTGAATATTCAACCCCTCATTAACCCTATAATTTTTTCCTTTTTGAATATATCTGATTCGTATTACTCACTAAATAAATTGACTCACACGAGCCAACGTTGTGACCCATTGTGACCGGCATGTGACCATGTGACCGAAGTGCCATTTTACACTATGTGACCACTGTGACCGACTGTGACCCGTGACCGAAATGTGTTGATAAATATAGGCCAAAATTTAATTTTAAAGCTTCGGAGTGGTTTATTAGAGTCTATATATCAAATATATATTGTGTGAGAGAGAATTTCAAAATATTTTAAGGGGATTATGGAATAAATATACCAAATTTGTCAAAAATACTCATAAAACATTATGAAACATATAGGAACACATTTGAAATAGCAACTTTGAAACCAAAAAATCGCAAAAACCATATTTTAATGTTCAAAACAATATAAAATAGACTTATGAGAGATATGTGACGTTGTTGATCGATTAAATTGACAAAAATCGCATGGATCGAAGGTTGTGACCGGATGTGACCGACTGTGACCCATTGTGACCAAAAAGTGTTGTGGGGTCCACACGAAGAACTAGTCAGAATTTTTTTTCAGATTTTTGTGTTTCGTGGGGCCCAGTTTGAATATTCAACCCCTCATTAACCCTATAATTTTTTCCTCCCAAATTTTAACCCCAAGTTTTTTCCCTCCCAAATTTTTACCCTAACTTTTTTCCCTCCCAAAATTTTTCAATATCAATTTTAACCCCAAATTTTTCTCATCCAAATTTTAGCTCCAAATTTTCTTCCTTCCAAATTTAAACCCCAATTTTTTTCTTCACAAATTTTAACCCCAAATTTTCACCTACAACATTTTAAACCTATAAATTAATGGTGGGAGGAGAGAGAAATCGGAAGAAAAAAAGAGGAAAGAGAAACCGAAAAAGGAAGAGAGAAATTAGGATAGGAAAGATTTTTTTAATTAAAAATTAAATATAAAATAATATTACAAGGTTATTTTGGTAATCTAACAAAAAAGAGGTAGATTGGATGTTGGAATTTTTTTTTTTCAAGAGGAGGGTAGTACTAGAAGTCCTTCTAGCACATTGAGGGTAGAATAGAAGTTTCCCCTTCATAAAGTGTGTGAATGTTGGTGATGGTGCGTTGGCAAATCCTCATCCATCTACACCTTCAACAAATTCCCAACTGTAAGAAAAATCCCTTGAGCAACAATTCTCTGAATTTCTGATCATGATTTCCATCTGGGTTTCCTCTGATTTTAGTTTCTTTTGTAAAAAAAAAAAACTATCCATGCATCTAAAAATTAGATCCTTTTTGCTGAAAAATCCATATGGGTCTCTGAAAGTCGGCGCCTTTTAGCTAAAAGACACCGTGAATCCATCCAGATGCCTCAAACTTGGTTCCTTTATCCGGAATCTTTCAAGGAAAAACACCCATTTTTTTGGAAATCTTACATTGGCTTCTACGTTGTCGTGATTGCTGTGCATGTGCGTCGTGTGGAATTGCATCTGGTTTTTGCAGCTTCATGCATATTTTACTTTCTCCAAAATCTTTGGATGCCCCTTGACAACTTCAGTGCAAATGTTGTGGTTGAAGGCAAACCACTGCTACCTCAGGGCTCTGGGATTCTGCCGGCATGAACATAACTGATCACCCTTTGTTAAATTTCTTGGACTAAATTCCCCAACCGAAATGCCCATCCCTAGTTTTGCCAGAAAATTTTTCTCCTTCGCTCTGAACACGAGATCTTACAACGGCCATCACCAAGCTACAATGCCCTCGGGCCATTTCTAACATCAACATTGTTCCTACCGAGTTGTGTTTGCACCAAGCTCCCTCCAAAATCGAAAACTAGCATTCACCGGAGACGACGAAGTGATTCAACCTTGATAAAGTCCCTCTGATGATCAATTACTTGTAACATCAAAAAGGAAAAGGCAAAACAAAGAGGAGCAAGATCACTTCATCACACATATCCGATCATCGTAGATAAGCATCCATCCAACATCAAGACGTACAAATCAACCTAAAATGAGCGAGCTACCATGAGGTTCGAAACGCAGGGAAACTCACCGTAGACAAAGGGCGAGTCAATCATCCTGGTTTCTCTCAGTCTCAAGAGTAGAAGTCGAGAGGTAGAAGCAGCCCGCCGCCGCCAATGATCTCCTCCCAGCAAATCTCTTCACAACCACGGTTCCTGGTGTTACACGATCCGATGGTCAAGGACCATCGACGAATGAATCTGGAACGCCCGATTTCCTGATCCCGTCAAATTCTTCTCGAAAAAAGCAGATTATGATCGTATCAGCTGGAGTAGAATCAGCAACAACAAAATCACACTTAAGGAAACGAAATTCGATTACGAGTTCCGGATAAAAAAAACAGAAATTACCCATATTAACATTACACGAATTGGTAGAGATGACATCAAAGAAGGGAGAGCCGAGAGAGATTTGAGGCCCAACGCGAAATTGGCGTGTCGAGGGCTTTTGCAATTTCTCACTCAACTCCTCCTTTGTTTATTTCCGATTCTACCCCTTCTTCCCGTTGTTATTACAATTTTGGTAGTACACGTCAAAAACTCGAAGAATTTTGGGACATGGACTAAGAAAATCAAACCACATTAAAAAAACATACAAAATTTTATTTGATGACAAAAACAGAAATTAGAGAGACATTAGAAACTTAAATAAATCAAGAAGACCACCTAGGTAATCCATGATAAATATTAATATAAAAAACGAACGAAACATAATTAAAACATTTAGAATAACACATATTAACATTTTAATGTCGTGAGGTGTAATAACCAAAAAAAAAAGTCATGGCCTTTTTAAATTGGGGTTTGGTGTGGGCATAAATGCAACTTTCGGGTATGGGAAAAAAAAAAGAAAGAAAGAAAAAGACGTGGAAATGACATTATATCTAACACTGCCTTTTGGCCTTAGGAAAGCGACGCACCTTCAAATACCTTTCATCACTTTGGCCACATCTATTTTTGATTTATTATAAAGTATTATTCTCTCTATATATTATATTATATTATATGATATGGGCGTATCTTGCCAAATTCCACATTTTGGATTATCCATTGATCCAACATTCGTTCCCATTATTAATAACTCTTGCAAGAAAAGAAGACTAAAATGATTTGTTTTCATCTTTGTCTATTTAAATATTAAACTAGTATATTAATAAAATATAGAATTATTTTTTCAAAAGATATTGTTATCGATCCTTACTCTCATTAGTCATTAGATCTATCATTGGTATCAGAATGTATCTTTTTATTTTTTTATTTCATCGTTGATCAAAACCACTCGTTAGTATCACGATGACAACCAATAAAAAGTGTATTGATAATCTGAAATCTAGATTGTCGACCATCTACTTCCTCCCATTCACGATCTGGACCACAACACGTGCTATCACAATGACGATCAACAAGGAACGCATCGAATTTCTGAAAACAAAACTTTCAACATTGCTAGGTGAATTCGTTAAACAAGAGACGTCCGTGACTAAGCAACTCTAGGCATTAGAAACATCTCTCACCTGCCTCGTTGATTCTCTTTCAGTGATACATATCGCTTCCTCATTCGGTCAAGGAAAACAAATATGCATCAGTTTTCTATATCTGAACCTTGCGGGCGAGGTTCTTCTCGACAGAAGGAGTATTTATTGTGAACCGACCGGTTAAACTCACCTGGATCAAGGATAATTAAAACCCATAATTTCCGTGGTTATTTGCGTTGAATAAAATATAGGAGAATTAGTCTTTCTTTTTTGTATCAGTTATATCTCTATTATATTTTGTTTTCATATATCTAGGATCACTAAAATAATTTATTTTCATCTTTATCTATTTAAAAATTAATTATCATGTTAATAAAATAGAGAATTGTTTTGTCACAATAGATTGTTGTCGATTTTTACTCTCTCATATCTATCTATCATATAATATATAAAAGTAATATTACTACAATAATTGGTAGAAAAGATTAGATTAAACTATAATTACAAATTATAATCTTACCCCCGTAGTTACCATATAATGATGTCATTAGTGGGATGAAAACAACTAACTAACCTGGTGGTATACCGTATGTTTGTGAAAAAGTTTTAAAATAAATAAATAATGAATTTGGCATTTAGTATAATGAAAAAGCTACTCCCCCATGTGCCCTTCCTCTCAGTCACCGACGTTGTAAATTTATTTGAAACAATTTTGTATAGAGAAAGAACATATATAGAAACGTCAATAATAATAATAATAATAATAATAATAATAATAATAATAATAAATAGTTGTATTTTTAAAATTTATGATGAATGATACGGACGAAGTTGATTGGATCCATGTGGGTAAGGTTCATGTGGATGCCGAGATTCCGCAGTCGTTATCAAAGCAGGTGGAGGAAACAATTTGCTCATAAATCACCATTTCCAATTTTCGCTTAGAGCG